TCACCCCTGAAGTGGATAAATTATGAAAAGAAACAAGAAACGAATAAAGGTGGATCAAGTTAGCACTCGAAAATGAATGTTATAGATGTGGTATGAAGGGACACCGGTCGCGTACTTGTCATATGCCAAAGCACCTAGTTGAGCTTTATTAAGCCTCGTTGAGAAAGAAAGAAAGTGATATAGAGACAAATTTTATATATCAAAATAATGACTGTGGCAATGTTCCTCTTGAAGGTTTCAGTAACTTGACACATTTAGATGTTGCTGATTTCTTTTAAGATTATGAAAGAAAAAATTATTAGGTTAATGATAATCGTTGAAATTTTATTACCTTTTCTATTAATAAATAAAGAAGTTTAATTTTTTATAATTTCATCATAGTAGTTACAATTTTTTTTTTTTTGTTTTCTTGTTTATGAAGAATATATTGATATTATCAAGTTTGCAATTGGTTTAAACGTCATGGAGGAGAATCTATGCCTCATGGATAGTGCAACAACATATACTATACTTAAAAATAAAAGGTATTTCTCTAATTTAATGATTGGTAAGGCTAATGTTAACATTATATCTAGTAGTGTTAATTTAATTGATGGCTACGAAAGAGCAAATATATTACTACCTAAACGGACAAATTTGATTATAGATAATGCATTATTCTCTCATAAGTCCCATAGAAATTTATTGAGTTTTAAAGATGTTCGTTTAAATGGATATCATATTGAGATAACAAATGTTGAGAATATTGAGTACTTATATATTACGAAAATTACATTAGGTAGAAAATATGTATTGGAGAAATTACTTGCTTTCTCTTCGGCATTTACTACATAAATATTCAAATGATTGAAACAAATGCCATAGTAAACCGAAGTTTATTAATCCTTTTATTTTGTGGCATGATCGGTTGGGCCATCCTGGATTCATTATGATGCGAAAACTTATTAAAAATTCGTATGGACATCCATTGAAGAACCGGAAGATTCTTCAATCTAATGAGTTTTCATGTCTTGCATGTTCTCAAGGCAAGCTTATTATTTAGCCATTGTCAAATAAAATTAGGATTAAATCTTCAACATTTTTAAAATATATACAAGGTGATATATGTGGACCATTTAGATATTTTATGATTTTAATATATGCATCTATAAGATGGTCACATGTATGCTTATTATCAACTCGAAACCTAATGTTTTTGAGGTTAGTTGCTCAAATAATTCGATTACGAGCACAATTTTCAGATTACACCATTAAAACAATTCACCTTGATAATCCCGATGAATGTACCTCTCAAGCATTTAATGATTATTGCATATCTATTGGAATAACAGTTGAACGACTTGTTGCTCATGTTCATACTCAAAATGGTCTAGCAAGCATCATTTATCAAAAGCCTCCAATTGATAGATAGACCATTACTTATAAAAATAAAACTCCTTATTTATATTTGGGGATATGTAATTTTACATATAACAACACTTATTCATTATCGTGCCCATAAGTTATCGAAATTATCTCCCCTTCAATTAATTTCTTGTCATGAGCCTAATATTTCTCATTTAAGGATTTTTTGATGTACAGTATATGTCCCAATTACTCCACAACAAACTAAAATGGGTCTTCATAGGAGATTGGGAATATATGTTGGATATGAATCTCTTTCTATAATTAAATATCTTGAACCATTAACTAGGGATATTTTCACTACTCATTTTGCTCGATTGTCATTTTGATGAAATAATTTTTTCAACATTAGGGGAGAAAATAAACAGAATAAGCGATTAAAGATATTAAAAAAAGAAATTACATGGAATACTTTATCTTTATATCATCTTGATCCTCGTACAAAACAATGTGGACTTGAAGTTCGGAGGATAATTCATTTACAAAGTCTTACAAACCAACTATCAAATGCATTCTCTAATCTAAAGAGAGTAACTAAATCACATGTTCCCGTGAGAATGCTCATATTAAATTGATGTTCCAAGTAGGATAACCTATTAATGTTATAACAAATGAATCTAAAGCACGTTTGAAGCGTGGAAGACCAATCGGTCCTAAAGATAAAAATCCTCAAAAGAAAAAGAGAAAAAATAATCAAGATAAAAATATAAATGAGGCGAGATAAAACGGTCCAAGATGTCTTTAATAACAAGCTTCCAAAAGAAGCCCAAATGCTTGAGAAAAATCAAAAATTTTTGGTAAATTATGTTAACATAAGGAGAAAATGGGACAAAAAAGAAACATTCATTGACAACATCTTTTCATATAATGTGACAATTGATATTTTGAATAAGGATCCCGAGCCTAAATCTATTGAAGAATGTCGACATAGAGATGATTGGCCTAAATGGAAAGATGCAATTCGAGAAGAATTAAAGTCTCTCACGAAACAAGTAGTTTTTGGATCCATAGTTAAAACACCTAAAAATGTTAAGCTAGCAGGATACAAATGGGTATTTATCCAAAAAACGAAATGAAAATGATAAAATTGTGAGATACAAAGCAAGACTTATAGCGCAAGGGTTTTCACAAAGACTCGACATTGACTATGAAGAGATATATTCTCTTATAATTGATGCAATTACATTTCATTATCTTATTAGCTTGACAACAGAAGAAAAACTTCATATGTATTAAATGGATGTGATCACAACCTATTTATATGGTTCACTTGATAATGATATCTATATGAAAGTCCTAAAAAGACTTAAAATGCCCGAAGCATGTAAAACACATTCTCGAGAAATGTATTCCATTAAATTACAAAGATCTCTATATTGATTAAAACAATCTAGATGCATGTGATATAATCATTTTAGTGATTATTTATTAAAAGAAGGCTATAAAAATAACCCAATTTGTTCATGTGTCTTTATAAAGAAATTCGAAAAGGGATTTGTGATAATTTTTGTATATGTTGATGATATAAATATAATTGGAACTCCCGAAGAGATTTTAAATGCCATAAATTACTAAAATAGAGAATTTGATGTGAAAGATCTTGAAAAAATAAAATTTTATCTCGGCTCGCAATTCGAACACTTAAAAGATGAAATTTTTATTCATAAGTCAACATATATAGAAAAAGTACTATAACGATTTTATATGGATAAGGCTCATCCATTGGTTAGTCTAATGATAGTTCGTTCACTTAATATCCAAAATGACCTTTTTCGACCTCGAAAAGATAACAAAGAACTTTTTGGTCCTAAAGTACCATACCTTAGTGTAATTGGTGTTTTAATGTATCTTGCTAATAATACCCGACTTGATATAGCATTTTCCGTAAATTTATTAGCAAGATATAGTTTTGCTCTAACACGAAGATATTGGAATGAAATTATACATATACTACGTTATCTCCGAGGAACAATTGATATGGGCTTATATTATTCTAACAAATTAAAGATTGGATTTATTGGTTATGTAGATACAAGTTATTTATGTAATCCACACAAAACTTGATCCTAAACTCGGTTATGTATTTACATATGGAGATATAGGTATATCATGACGTTCTATGAAGCAAACTATAGCTGCCACATCTTCAAACCATGCGTAATACTAATAATTCATGAGGTAAATCGAGAATGTATTTGGTTAAGATCAATGACCCATCATATTTGAGAGACATGTAGTTTATCTAGTAGCAAGGAAGTTTCAATAGTCTTGCATGAAGATAATACTCGTTTGCATAGCTCAATTAAATGAATGATACATCAAAGGGATAGAACAAAGCATATATCACCAAAATTATTTTTTACACATGATCTTCAATGAAATGGTGATATCAATGTTCAACAAATTCGATCAAGTGACAATCTAACAGATTTGTTCACTAAGGCATTATCTACCACAACTTTTGAAAAGATGATTCACAAGATTGGAATGCGTCGTCTTAGATATCTTAAATAATGTCTTCAACAAGCGGAGACCAAAACGGGGATTAATGTGTGCAAGGAATATCGTACTCTTTTTCCTTCACTAGGATTTTTTCTCATTGGGTTTTTCCTAGTAAGGTTTTAACGAGGCATGTTCCTTGTACAATGGACGTTCAAAGAGGAGTGTTATGAAATAATGAATGTCTATATGAATGTTCATCTACTTTTCATATCCTCACTACTCATAATTCTTAGTGTGATTCAATTTATCATTCAATATGAGAAATTGAAAGGATGATGCAATTGATGTACTTTTAATTATTCATAGTCTCTTCCAATTCTCATCTCAATTTTGAAGCCTATAAATAGGCTTGATTATTCATTATTTGATGTAGAAGTTTTCTAGAGAGAATAAGAGACACTTTGAAGTTCTTATCACTTGTGATTATATTATAATGCTTTCATTTTTCTTGTCACTCTTTCCTTCAATTCTCCTATTATTTCTATTTATTTTATAACAACCGATGATACTTTAAATTAAAAAGAATGCATTGTTGGCCTCTCATGCACCAATTTTTTTTTTTACTTATATATTTTGAACTTTTTTGCACATTATTTACCAAATAATGTACATCACTGCTTTTAATAATATCATCGTAATCATTCTTAAAAAAGAAAAAATGTCACTGAAGCATGTTTTTCTTTATTATATCATGATCTGTACCATAATCTATTATCAACTATATATGTAAGTACACTAAGATTTGTGACCATAAATTTTCATAATAAGTTAATAAACTAACAAATATGATGATAAAAGAAAAAGAAAAAACATAACCAATATCATATAAATAAACTTTATCAAACTATGAAATCAACTTTCATTATTTGAGATAGCTCAACTAATACAAGCACCAAGAGGAGATTAAATATTACCACCTGGAGAAGAGCACTAGCAAAACAAGACTACAAAATAAACAAACAAGGAAAAAGAAAGCAGGGCGGGCATGGGAACCAAATTCAAACAGTAGCAGCATCCTTGGGGACCAATGATGAAAAACCCATTTTAATGTTGCTTGACCACTATGGTCTTCAGGGTTACAAGGACGCAGTGCATCAGACTACATCTCTTAATCCCCCAGCTGGTTGAAAAAGGAATGGCTCTGGTGGTTTAGTCAAAGCCAAACGTCTGAGTCCGGAAGTGGAGTTGTAAGAAATGCCAACATCAGCAATAGAGAGAAGTAGATCAGAAGAAGATAACTTGTAAGCAACAAGCGTATAGTTGAAACCAACTTTTCCATGTTTGACAATCCTGAATATGGTGTTGACATCACCTTCAATTCCACCAATCGTCAAAAATTCTGTTGTTGTTTTATTGTTTTCATGCATCCATACCAATGATTCGTTAGAGCAGGTTGAGCTGGTGGCATCAAAACTGATGTACACATCTGTGAAATCCGTGATAGAAATCCCCCTCTTGCAGTTGTAATTCTAACTCTGTTACCTTCAGCACCAAATTTTTGTAGAATAATGTCAAGTGGGCAGGTATCGTTGTTGCCTTTTCCTAGGCTGACAATACCACTATCATGAGGCCACTGACTTGAGGTCATGTAATATGGAAAGCCAGGGAGAAGTGGAAAGCCTTTATCGTCAAGCACTGGATTCCCGAAAGCATGAACGGCTTGAGGAAACATTCTCATCGAGGAAGCAAGGAGAAGGAAGGAGAGTGTTAGGAGCATGGTCATCTTCATTGATTGGCTAGATATGTGTTTTCGGTGGAGTGAAACTAATTGGAAACCAGTTTGTATTTAAATACAACAAAAATTCGGATTTGCGACCGTATTTTAAAAACGGTTTACAAAAACGTAGCTAAAGTTAAAGAATTAGCCACGGTATTAATAGACTCCTGCAAATTTTATTATACTTTGGATATTTAACATCGTTTTTAAATCGTGGTTAAATGAATTTTTTTTTATTGTGTTTCTAGATAAAATAAAACCATTTTTTTAGCTCATCTAATAATTTAAAATTTTAAACTAAGACAATTCTTAGATATAATATCAAAATTTTAATAATTAAGTAATAAAAAATTCGAATTTAATCACTCTCATTATCTTTTATAAAATTAAATAAAAAAAGTTAAGTAAAACATAATAATGGATATGTACAAATATCAAACTATAGGCTTTCATTTAAGAAGGTATCAAAGATACTATAAAATCGTTATTGAGGTCTCAATGGGTAGGAGTTTAAATTTTGGGTTAATGTATTTATATATTCTTATATATTGCTCCCATTCTCTCGCAATGATCTTCACCAATATTTTTTTACCCTCATAAGCCCTTGTATATTGATATTTTGTATCATATACCATTTTTCTATTATTTTTAACAAAAAGACCCTTTATACATCAAAAGAAAAATTATTTTCATAAACAAATAAATCAAATTTCACAAACTTAAAAGTAATTTAAAAATTCGGAAAATATAAAAAATTAAAAAAAAAACTAAAAACATAAAAATTTGAAACATCTCAAGAAAATTGAATAAGACATAAAAATATACATATAAAAAAACATTGGTAACTAATAAAAAATCAATATGAAAAACCACGTCGTGCAAATTTATTTCAATTCCATATATATTTTTCTATTTACGAGATTTTATGACACAATTTTTTCATTTCTAGAATTTTACAAGTTATTATTATTTTTTTTAGTTTTTTTTTGCTTTTTTCTTGTTTCTTTAGCCAGCCATCTTTTATTGGCTGAGCTCTGCTTTCGGTTGGTCTTTCAATAAAAAATCGATTATCACCAAAAAAAAAAAAAAAAAAAAAAAAAAAAATATATATATATATATATATATATATATATATATATATATATATAAAAGAAGAGAAAAAGACATTATACTGCCAACTAATTATGAAGTACATGATTATATTAAGAAAAAACGTATAAGGATGATATTGAATAATTTGCAAGAATTTGGGTACCAAAAATACCCTTATAAAAAGTCCCTGATGGAATCAAACTAGCCAACTGTCGTATTGCATGTCCTTCTCCGCAACATCATAATCGTGCTTTTAGCCCTTTACAGGATCCGGTTACCAACCGTCGTTCTGTTCTATTTTGTCTTGTATAATGCCATTTACCATCATATATATAGATTTTTTTTTTTTGGTCAAAACAACTAGTCTGTCACGGATAAAAATTGACTACACGAGGTCATACCGACTAGTCTTTCACGAATAAGAGTTGACAACACCAAGTCATACCCATTGTTTGATCGACAAAAACTAATCATGTTTTTTAAGAAGAAATTTCACATCTGGTAACTTATAAGAGTTATTTATACAAATTATTCAAGAATAAGATTTTAACTGAAGTCCCTTTCATATATATATATATATATATAGAGAGAGAGAGAGAGAGAGAGAAAATGGACCAATAAATTGTTAGTCTAAAAATAAAAGAATTGATGTCTAAATAAATTTTTTTTACTAAATTTGAATTTTAAAATTGTACTTATTAGAAAGAATTATATTTTTTTTTTGTTAATGTGAGATATATATATATATATTTCTAATTTGATAAAAAAAAATTTTGTTTAGACATCAATTCTCTTATTTTTAGACTAACAATTTATTGGTCCATTTTCCTTTTATATATATAGAGAGAGAGAGAAAACCTCTTCATATTTTAAGTCAAGGGAAATAAGTGGAAATATTTAACCCTTGTGCTAAACATTCTGGGTTCTATCACTTACTTTACTGCATTCCATGGTGGCGTGTTTCCAAATGAGATTTGGCAAAACATATAATAGCCTTGATGCCTTTTTCCACTTTTAAATCATTTTCCTTAAATAACGATTATGTTTGTCTAATGTTGTAAATTATTGGAGCGAAATCACCGTAGAAGAAAAAATTTTATGTTACGAGGGAGATAGTTATAGTACCTGCAAGTTATAAATTATATATTATTTGTGTCCTATCTTTGAGAGCTTATCTGTTATTTTGTAACTGTGCTAATTGCTAATCTTGTTAAAATAATAAATGTTATTCATCTCGTAATTATTTTTAAATGATTACAAACTAATAAATATATGTACTTATTACATTATAAGCTTTTTTTTTCTTGTTTTTTTCATTACTTCATAAACTTAAAACTAGAAAACCCATAATACCTTCCAGTAACAAGAAAATTGCAATCTTGTTATCCAGTTTCTTATTTTTGGTATTTTTGTTTCATTTTCAAATGTAAATAGCTACATGATAGCATGAAATGCTAACGTGTCCGGAATAAACTATTATGTGACAATTTATCCTAAACACGTCAACATTTCATACTTTCGGATGATTGTAGACACTCAAACAGAAGAAAAAAAATAGACACTAAAAATTATAGTTGTCTCAAAAAATTTATTTCCTCGAGATCATGAAATTAGTCTAACAATTTTTACTTAGTTGCGTTATCAATAAATATTTGTCATTTCATACTCGTTGCATTTTTTACTTACCAAAAAGCAGCTTTTTAATACTTTCAATTAGTCACATTTTATTTTTAAAAAAACATATTAGGTGATAATAGTTGGTGTAAATGGTTGATTCGTTTGGCATTTTGGTGCTTCCTTTTTAAGTCTTATATGATTTTTGATCGAAATTGGATTAGTTATATTTGATTGACCGAGATATTGGACATAATTTATATATACTCTAGTAGTCATAGAAAGAAAGTCATTAAACCTCATGCGAGTGGCTAGTTTTTTTTTTTATTATTTAAATCAATATTGATCAAGAAAGAAATGCATTTTGGTGCTTTCTTTTTAAGTTTTATATGATTTTGATCAAAATTGGATTAATTATACTTGATTGATCGAGATATTGGACATAATTTATGTTGTTCCTAGCACACAAAATGAACATCATTGAATAATAAAAATTAACACAATAAATAAATAAATTTATTGTAAATTAAAATAAATGAATGATTGAAACTTTTTACTTTGATCGTCAAAGAATTCAAGATTAAAATCATGTTACCATGTCTCACAATGTAAAGATGATCAAACCATCAAAATAGTTTTACCATAATTTTAGGTGGTCGACTCGAGGCCTAACCAAGTTGCTTTTTTAAGACGATACGTGTCATCCGCAGAATTTATCCGATGCAATTGATCAAGAATATATTGCATATCATCTCGGGGATATAACAAGCTCAGTCACCTTACCATATCTTAACAAATTTGTACTATTTATAAGACTTGAAACTCTAAATAAAATTAGCACCACTCTTACCCAAACATAGAATAAAAAAATTATATGACTTTCTTAGTGGAAGGCTAAAGAAACAAATATCAAAGAAATACCTTTTCTTCCACAGCAAAGCAAAAACTTACTGCCTCCTTTTCTTCTCAAGTAGAGTACATATATGTACATAGGCAAGTGAAGTAACCGTTTGAAGAATTTAATTTACTCATTTAAAGAAATTAATAGCTAATATAATTGTATATTAAAACTAAATAAAAGAACATTAAAAAAAGCAATGAAAAAATGTAACAAAATTAATGAAAAAGACTGTTGGTCTTTTGTTCCAAATGTAACGGTTTGAAACATTTTTTCATTTATTATTATTATTTGATATAATTAATATTTTAATAAAAAATATTGCAATAATTTATATACTCTCTAGTAGTCATAGAAAGAAAGTCATTCAACCTCATGCGAATGGATTTTTTTTTTTTTTTATCAATATTGATTAAGAAAGAAAAGATTTTTTATTCGTTTGGCATTTTGGTGCTTCCTTTTTAAGACTTATATGATTTTTTTTATCGAATTGGATTAATCATACTTAATTGACTCGGATAGTGAACATAATTTATACATACTCTAGTTATCACAGAAAGAAAGTCATTCAACCTCATGTGAGTGGTTAATTTTTTTTTATCAATCTTGATCAAGAGAGAAATGTATCCGTTGTGTTTGGTAGTGGTTTATTCAATCATTGCTAATTTGCTTATAATTCAATAATTTTTTAGTGGTCATTTATAATTCCATGATACCTCAAGCAAGTTATATATATATATGTGTGTGTATCTTGGAACCAAATGCAAATTATGCAAATTTTAAACTCTCTTAATCGTTTTAGACAAATTTAACATTATGCTCTTTAATCAAATATATATATATATAAGGTCAAATTAAAATTAAATTTAGAAAAACAAAACATATATACACTCCTCAAATTATTCAATTATAAGAGAAAATAGATCTTCTAGTGAATTCCATCTTTTTGACAAAATCTTAATCAATTGTATTGTCATCATATGATTTTTAAATTTATTCATTTTGAATATGAGATTGATATTTTAACCAATGTCATCCTACAATTAGAGAAATTAAGCTCTGCATATCTTCATCAAAGAAAGAACTTGGTCCTTTTTTTTTTTTTAATGAAAAAAATTAAATCAGAATTCTTTGTATATGTGTGGGGATAGGGAGAGAGAGATTATTTTAGTGTTTAATTTTTAATTTTTTTTCTGTTTCAATGTTTAACTGGTAAATTCTTCACTTTCAATATCTAATTTTTGATTTTTGATTTTTTTTTTAAAATATCCATAGTTACGTAAGGGTATGAAATACTAAAAGAGGAGGGGGAGGGGGCTGTAATTTTGGTGTTTAATTTTTATTTTCTTTTTAATGTCCAATCAGTAAATTTCTTTTTTTTTTTTAATATCTAAGT